ATCTGAAGTATGCATAGTTTACTGTACAGGAACCACACCACAATAAAGAGGTTAAATAGATAAATGAATAATGCACCTGGGAAATGAGACATTTCCCAAGGAAGGAAAACTTAGAAACACTAGACTGTATTTTAAATTACCACATAATCTTTCAATTTTTTTTTTTTGCTTTTTTAACATTTAAGACCAGTTAAGAAATAAGGCCCAGAACTGGAACACTTCATGTTTCTAACTCCGCAGGTACAGGACAGAGACAAGACTCCACCACATCCTTGATCTCACAACTGCTGAGATCGTTTTACTTGGGGAGTATGGGTGCACCTTCTCTTTAATCAAAACTGGTTTCAACACCTTTTGGTTTAAAAGTTTTCACAAGGAAACAAAAGGGAGCTCAGTTCTGCTCACAGTCAACCCTGCATCCAATGTCCTTCCCGGCCCCCACCCCAGCAGACAGTTCTGCACTTGATCCTGCTTTTGTTTCTTCACATCACAAGTCTATTTATACCTTGGGTTTTTTGTTGTTTTTTTAAAATACAGCTTCCACTAGAATGGGTTCTGTAAGAGCTTAGCTCACCTCTCTCCTATTTACCATGGTTTCATTGTGCTTAAATCAGTATGGGGGCAGGGGGGATAGCTCAGGGGTACAGCGCGTGCTTAGCATGCATGAGGTCCTGGGTTCAATCCCCAGTACCTCCATTAAAATAAACATATAAACAAATAAAACTTAATTACCTCCCCCCAACAAAAAAAAATCAGTACAGTCATCACTCCAAGTCTGCCAAGGACTGGTTCCAGGACCCCCAGATACCCAAATTCTTAGATGTAAGTCCCTTATATAAAATGGCATAGTATTTGCATATAACCTATACCTACCCTCCTGGATACATTAAATCATCTCTAGATGACTTATCATACCTAATACAATGTCAATGCTATGTAAATACTTGTAAGTACCAGGTAAATGCTACATAAATAGTTGCCAGGCATGCAGAAAATTCAAGTTGTGCTTTTGGAACTTTCTAGAATTTTTTAAAAAAATATTTTCAATTGGAGGTTGGTTGAATCTGCAGATACAGAGAGCCGACTGTACTGACACATAGTACGCACTTCATAAATGTGTGTAGACAGTAAAACCACCACCTGGAATGTGTACCTGAGACTTGGCAGTTGTCCTTTGGCCCCCGAAGGCACCATATCATTGCTGAGCTCGAGACCCTCCTGTCAGGTGCCCTTTCTTTTCAGAAAATTCAAAGGATCAACCTCCAGAACCCACCCCAACTTACTGTCTTGAACTAAAGGCTCAAAAACCATGTTGTCACAAAAGTGAACACACCCACATCAACACCCAGCCACCCCTCCCACCCACTCCGGATCACTGACCATTTTGGGAAGGTCTCTTGTTACTTACACCTTAGCTCCTGCAGTGTCCTTCAGATAATGTCATCCATCACTTGCCTAGTGTTTGATAACGCACAGAGTACTTCAACATGGAATATCTCATCCAATTGTTCAAACTCTTTTGAGGAAAGCAATGACATATCTATCTCACCAACACAGAAGTTAACGGTAATAAAATTTAGTGAACTCATTTAAGTCCATGGAGTTCACCAGTGACGATCCAAACACTGACTGCCTGATCTGAACTTCTCCCCTTTGCACTGCCCCGCCGCTCCACTCCACATCTGACCATTCAAGTTCCACATCAAATGCCACCTCCTCCATGAAGTGTTCCCGGATAGCACAGTCTTATCTCTTCTTCCCTTAGTATTTCTTAGCTGTCTTAGCACATGAACTTGCCTTCAGTAACAGTCTGTTCCCTGTCAAGTCTCAACATTCAGAGCCAGGCAGGTGATTGGTGAGTTGATGACCTATGGTGGAGGGTCTGTTCTCTGTATATTTGAGGAAAGTTGAGAATTATTCACAGAGGATGGGATGGGATGGGAGAGAGAATTTTCTTGTGCCTGAGAACTAGTGAGACCCTCTGGTGAGGAGGGTCTCTGGGAAATTCAAGCAGGGGAAACTTTCACTTTCTAGTTTGGGTCGGGGTTACTTTTACTCTCTCCTGAATTAGTAATTAAGAAACTTTGGTGAATAATATATGCAAAAATGAATCACAAGATGTTAAGTTATATAGATTTTAGGTACAATTGTCATTTTGTGATTACAGTTATGTGTAGCAGTGGTTTTTAATTTGGCTATGCATCTGAACTACTTGTGAAGATGTTAAAAAAAAAATACAGTTGCCTGGGCTCGATCTCAAGTCTACTTAAAAAAAGAGAGAGAGAGACTCTGGGACCTCCACATGGGCCCTACTTATCACATTCCTTGAGCTGAAATGTGAACTCTGCCTTATGTCTCCTGCAGGCAGTAAAAGAAATGAACACAGCAAAGAGGGACAATTCTCCTGGTGTGACGCCTACCAGAGTTAAGATTCTGAACCTTCTTACAGATATAGGAGTTTCCAGCCAGGACACCCCAAATACAAAAGCTTTGAAAATTGAGTTCACTAATAATTCTGTGATTTGGCTGGAAGCTTTGTCTTATTGCCAGAAGAAGCCTCCGAGTTAGGAAGGGTCTGCTTGGTCAACTTTGTTTTCGGGAGAGCCAGCAGCAAGCAGCCCTAGAACTGACCTGCGCACGGGCTCGCTATGGAGTGGGCAGGCACTCCGTGACGGCCCTGCCAGTCAAGCCTTCCCAAGGCAGCTCCTGCCCACAACTTACTGCAACCTCATCAGAGACCCTGAGCGCCAGAAACATCCAGATAAGCTGCTCCCAATTCCTGACCCTCAGAAACCGCGAGAGGCAATGAATGTTGGTTGTTTTAAGCTGCTAAGTTTGTGGTGTGCAACCACAGAGAACTAAGACAAGAAGAAAGGTGTTTTTATCTAGGTAGCTCAAAATGTGTGAGAAGCACATTTCTGCCCGTGAGAACGAAGTCATCTTTCTCCCTGGCACCTTGCACAGGGCCTCGCACCGACTAGGCAATCGACAAATGTGTGATGGAAGTAAAACTTAGCGAGTAGATTGCTAATTCCATTGTATGACACAGAGGAGAATAGCAAAAGGACCATTATGATTCCCAGAAAACACTCGAAGTCACTCGCTTAAAGTACAATACCAATGGCCACCCCCAAACTCGTTTTACCTGTGCTTTTGACAAAGACGTGGATGTGCATGTATGTAAATGTACACGTTCATAACGCTGACACTCTTGCGCATGCGTACATGGAATCAAATGCAAAATCATTTACAGCAACGCCATCCTTAACAGCAAAGAACCGAACACCAAATCTCCATTAACGGCAAACTCATAAAACCCGTGGCATATTTAGAAGCTGAAATCTGGGCACTAGGGGTGCACACGGGTATGGAAATGTCACTGCCCCCAGATCCTCACAGTGGACAGAGACAGGGAATGTATGTGTGCAAATCTGCACATACACACGCACACACACATCGAGGCACAGAGACACGTCTACATATTTCTACATCTACATACATTGAAAACCATAAGCCCGACCAACAGCTCCAGTTCCACTGATCACCGCCAAGTTCATTCCAGTGTTCTCTCTCTCTCCACAGCTGATGGTGAGAACCCTGCTTCCCATCATCCTTGTTATATTTACTCATCTGATCAAACCTCCCCGACCCCCGTAAGTAGCTAATCTCCCGTTTCCCCTGCCACTCCCTGTCCCTCCTCGGCCCACTGGGCTCTGCCACCCCACAGGAGGCCGCCCTCTCCTCGTCACCCTGCCTGGGCTCTGATTCCACAGGCCAGGCAGCCTCTCCTCGTGGACTTCCTCTCTTGCCACTTGGCCGGGGACTCCGTGTGGATGCCCTAGCCATCCTGCTTGCGCTGACACTCCACGCGGGGCCACCCTCGTGTGCAGACGCCCTCAGCCTGCTCAGGCTGTGACATGCCACACCAGGATGTGCCCCTGTCCCCAACATGTGCATGTCTCACCTGCTCTGGCTCTGACACCCCTAGCTGGACCGCCATCTGAGTGGACACCCTGACTGCATGTTGACTGCCAATTCTGGGGTGTCGCCTTTATGGTTGCCCTTCTTCCCTGCTCTGGCTCTGCCACCCCAAACCAGATCCCCCTCTCCCATACAGACATAGCTCACTCCACTTGGGCTCTGACTCCTGGTGCCATCTTCTTCACCCCACCTGGTCACTGATGCCCCCCAACATGGATGCCCTTGTCACCCCCAGGCTGTGACACTCCACAGCAAGCAGCCCTCCCTCAACTGCAGACACCGACCTAGCTCTGCCCCACCTAATAGCTTCAGGACTGAACTGTTCAAGAGGAGAAAGGTGAAATTTTAATTTAACATTAAAAAAATTAAACATTCTTAAAGAATAGCTGCTGTAGGAAAATGCTTTGAATTGTTCATTTCTTAATCTTAAAATGCACCATGCAAAAGCACAAAAATATAGATAAGTAAATGAAAGCATAAAGTCACTTGGAATATAACTTACAGATAATCTTTGTTAACTGATCAATTTGGGACAGATTTTCTATGCATACACAAACTTCACCCCCTTTTTTTTTTATCAGTTTGAAATGCTATTTACTTAACATAGATCATAAATATCTTATGTTGGTAAGTATGTGTTACTCTATCAATGGCTACAGTGAATTTCATTTCATGGTCTTACCATAACCCGTAACTCTCCTCCTGCACTGCACATTCTCATTCTTTCCAACTGCTCATTCTCAAGCACAGCTGTGAGCTGCTGGTCAAGGGGGAATCAGTACCCTAAGGGCTTTTGATGCAGGATGCCAAATTCCTTCCAGAAAGAGTTATTAGGGTTAAAAGGGTGAGGAAATGCCAGGAGCCTCATGAAATGTACAGTGTGTTAGATGCCTGCTGATTGGGAGGGACCAGAGGGCCCCAAAACACTGCAGACAGCCTCTCAAGCCCAGAGGGTCAGGCTGTGGGGCATGGGTGGGAGCAAGTTCCGGGTCTCCCTGGGGAAGGGATGCTCCACTTACCTGTGCACAGGCCCTCAGGGGCCCTGGGGGCTTCTCATCCCGCTCTTCCATGCTCTCCTCCAGGCACAGGCAGGGGCCTGACGTCCTGAGCTGCAAGGGGAGAAGCCCTGAGAAAAGCATCCTTGTGCAAGTCCACTGTGGCTCCCCCATCCCTGGATTAGTCTCTGCTTCCAGGATGCAGTCACCATGGCAACTGTGCTTCCAGAGGTTCCTGCCCGATAGATTCCTGTCTGAAGAGCTGTGCACACACCTACAGTCCCTCAGTTCCTCTCCCAGGCCAAGACTGCAGCTCTAGCCTGGTTTCTGTTACCTGGGGCCTCTGGGCCACCTACCCAGAAACTCACATCATGCCCAAAGGCAGCCTTCTGCCCACCACCAAGATCCGCAGCACAAATCAGTCCCTCTCTTTTCCACTGGATCTGGGGACCCCCACAAACACCCAGCACATTGAGGATCCTCTAGTGTGCACCCTCCCCCTGCAGCCCCAAACCAGTACCTCTTCTAGGGTGAACAACAGGCCCAAACTGATGGCCCAGAGTTAAACTCCATGACTAATTGCATGAAGCTCATGACAGCCCCACCACTCCCAGGACCCCATCCTTCCCCTGCCCCTCCAGTGCCTGTCATGGGTGGACTGCCTCTCACTTCCTGCTCAATAGCCAAGTATGTGCACAGAGCTGAGCTGCACCCAGGACCTGGTCCCTCCACCATTCTGGGGTCAGTGGGCCCCTACAAGAAGTGCACCAGCTCAGAATCCCACTTCCAACCCCTCCAGGCCCAGAATGTGTACCCTAGTTGCCTTGGTACCAACCGTTTCCAGGTCTGAGACTAGAACAGCCCCTGGCAAATCCCACCCTACACATCCCATCCCCACCTCATCTCTCCCTGTCACCAGTCAGCCCCACTGGATCCTCACTCAAACAGTAATAGCATGAGTTCCCGGTGCAGCTGTATCCTGAGCCTGCACCCATACCGTTTCCTCCACCCACCTCCACAGGCCCCAACTTGAGTCGCACCCGCCCAGATTCTTGCTCAAACATCTTCCTGGGCACCTGCAGCTCAGGGAGATGCTGTCTTTCCCCCAACCTGGGCATCCTCAGGCTGTGATTAGGGAGCCAAGTGCACAAAGATCCCAGTGCCCTTGTCTCACCCAAACACATGTGCGTGTGCACAGAGGGCACCTGGCACAGCCCTACCCTTCTGCAGCCCAGAATCTGTGGCTGCTCCCTCTGCTGCACCCACCAGGACATCCTCAGGCTGTACCAGGGCCCCAGGACTGCCCACGCCTCCACGTTCTGCCCAAATGCCAGTGCATGTGCAGAGCACAGACTTGGCCCTTCCCAGTCCTGAACTGGAAGCTCCAAATTCAGCCCTCCCAACCCAGCCTCTACTCCAGCAGCCACCACACAGGGGCCACCCAGTTAGGTTCCCTTCTCCTGCTGGCATACCCGAGCACACAAAGCAGGCTCATACCCAGACTCTACATCCAGAACCTGGGCCCTCCACCAGCCTGGGGCATAAGTCCTCGCTCTTGAGATGAGAGGCTGCATATCCCACTCTGTGCCTCAACTTCTCCTGGATACATAAAGCATCCACTAGCCTCTGGGAGGGCTCTAGGGTCCCCAGCCCCACTGCCTGCTTACCACCAGAGCTTCAGAACACCCGAACAGTAGTCTAAGCAGAGAACTTCAGAATCAGGCCTAGGACTTGGGCACTCACCAGCCTGGGGGTTCTCAAGCTCATGGCAGAGCAGCTCCCATGGCAACAGGGTCCTTTTGCTTCCGCCAACCCAAACATGAACCCTGGCTGCCACTGAGAGTACAGCCCCTTCCAGGTCCAAATCTGCAGCCCAGACTCTGTCCCTCTACCAACTGGGGCATTCTCATGCCTGCAAGCTAAGTGGCTGGAGCAAAGGTCCTGGGAAAAACTACTTCACAATCATACAGGCAGCATCCTGCTTCCTCCCCAAACAGCTGTCGACTTAATGGCAACTGGTGCAGCTCTGTCATTCCCGAGCTCCAATTCTGTACCTATCACCCACCGTCTACATCAAACTTGAATGTCCTAGAACTCTGCACTATCTTACAAGGGTCCAGTTCAACATGTGCAGAGAGCGCTCCGCCTCGAACCTGCCTCTAGGCCCTGGTCTCTCTGCCAACCTAGTCCGTAAGCTATCCCCACCATAAGCGTCGGGGGAAGGAGGGCTCGCTAAAGCAATGCTCCCTCTTCTGAAACAAGAAACTGCAACTCCAGCTTGGTCTGTCCACTACCCAGGGCGCCCCCAGGCCTGCAAAAAGAGCAGTCTGTTCCAGGATCCGAGAGCCAGCCGCCCAGAATCCCACCTCCCACCTCGTGCTTTCTACTCAAACAACTACTCAAGAGTATACTAATAATGACAGAGCCCCCCTCCTTCAGGAATCAGAATCTGCAACTGAGCACTTCCCAGCCATTCTCAGGTCCTCCACTAAACAGGCCCAGGCTTGTATGAGGAGGAGGCGGGGTTCTCAAGATAGCTCCCACATCCGTGCATTCGGCCTGTCTTCCACCAACGTGGGCATCCTCAAAGCATCCCAAGAGAACCACCTGACTAGGCACTCGCGCGCGCACGCGCGCAGAGCACAGTCCCAGAATCTGCAGCTGTTCTAGTATCACTACCCACTTTGATGACCCGAGGGTGAAGCACCGCCCACGCAGGTTCCAAATCGCCCACCCACAGTCCCGATCCCAGCGTCCGGCCTAGACCCTGCGCATGCGCGCATGGAGGAGCCGGCGCTGCCCCGCCCCTCACAAACCTGGGCGTCCACAGGCTCGAGGGCCAGGCAGGGCCCGTCCCAGTCTCAGTCCCCAGCACGGCTCTGCGTCAGGACGAGCTCGGTTAAGCAACTCTCTGCCCCGATTCTGCATGCGACAGACTCGGGTTAAGCTAGTTCTGTCCCCTTCCCTAGTGGGCATCCACAAGGCCGCTTGGTTTAACCTCCAAAGGGCTGAGGTGCACGGAAACAACAAGCGTCCGCGCGCGGAACAATGGCTGCGCTTCTGGCCGAACCCGGAAGTGCGTGTGGGCTCCGCGAGCTGGAACTACAATTCCCAGAAGCCTCGGCTGCGCGGGCGACGATTGGGCGAGGACCCAGCTCCTTAGGGGAGGTGGACCGAGGTGGTGCTGCTGCACAAAGCCTAATGTTCGGTCGGAGTCCCGGCTGGGTGTTGAGAGTGGGCATGTCCGAGTTTTTGTGGGGCGCCGAGACGAGGAGCCAGATCGGAGGCCATGGCACCGATGCCTGGGGAGTAGCTGACCTGGTCTGGGCTCAGTTTGGCGCCCACGAATGACTGAAAACGGGATCCGGTTGGAAACGGCGGGGATCCCTCCCTGCCTTGTCAGACGCTTGTGCACCGTCTCTTCTGGTCCTCATGGGAAAGACAGTTGCTACAAACCCGTTGAACAGTTCAGGGAGCTTCTATCAACCCCATCAAGAATCGGATATATGTTTGTAGTTAATAATAGTAAAATAGCAAGAATCCTTAAAAATTTTTTTTCTTTCTCCTACCTATAAGGACTTAAGGATCTGTTCCCTGCCCCAACCCCTTGCTCTGTGACTTCATCTCCTGACCATTTTCCTGGCTCAGTTGCAGTTACACTGGCCTTTACACCTTCTCCAAAAACTCAAGCAGGCTCCCACCTCAGGGCCTTTGCATGCGCTCTTCATGCTGCTTGACAGGCTTTCCCTCTGAGGATTGTCCCACCGTTTGATTTTTAGGCAAAGGTCACCTCATGAGGCATTTCCCCCACCAACCGTTGTAAACTTGCAAACCAACTCTTCACTTCCCATGTAATCCCCGCCTCCCCCATCTTTATTTTTTTCTCTTGAGAACTTTTCACTAATATACTATATATTTTAGATATTTATTTGGTCTATTGACTATCGGCCTTCACCACTAGACTGTCAGCTCCTTAAGGGAAAGGATTTATATCTACTTTATCTATCCCCAGCACTTAAGGGATGTGGCACATAATAGCTGCTCAATAAACATTTGTTTTGAGTAAATAAAATACTTGTTTTATTTCATGTTAAACTATATTAACACTTTAACATCTAACATCACATTGGGGGGAGTGCACTAATTAGGTTTATTTATTTATTTTGTTTTATTTTAATGGAGGTACTTGGGATTGAACCCAGGACCTTGCGCATGCTAAGCATGTGCTCTACCACTAAGCCATATTCTCCCTCCCAATGCCCCATTAACCAACACAATTGCCCTGTGAGGAAATTGTCATGGTTATTCCCACCCCACCAGGGAGGAAGCTGAAAATTGGAGCCCTGCTGTATGAATACAGAGTATCTTAAAGTTTTTTCTTTTAATGCTGCCAAAGCACTCCTGTAGTGTTCCTCACACAAATTCTGACTTTCAACAACAAAAATTATTGCTGTTGGAAATGTAATCTCTACCCCCAAAGTTTCTTATAATTGGTTATTGTGCTTGATGCTTTTTTAAAAAGTATTTATTTTGGTTAACCTACTGAATTCTTATGAATTCTTACAGTATTCCATTTGATTTTCTTGGCTTCTCTACTGAGACAGTCATCTACAGATAATAATTTCATCCCTTCCTTACCAGTATTTTTAACCAGGTATTTCCTTTCATGGAAGATAAAACTGAAACCCAGAAAGACTACGTATCTTACCTTAGATTGTATTGTAAGGGCACAGCTGGTATCTGAGTTCGAGAAGTCTGACTCTGGAGTCCATGCTCTTAATTTTCACATTATTCCCCCCTTGCCTACACTTCAGTATCTTTCCTACATATAATCAATACAAAGTTTGCAAACAAGACAGAGAAAGGTTTGTATGTATTCATAACAGAAGCCAAAAAAAAAAGGTCCTACAAGTAAATTTAGTAATATATATAGAGACATTAGAGGAAACCTTCAAAACCCTACTGAGAGAGAGTAAAGACATACAAATGCCGCCTTATAACTGTTGTGCTGTAAAAATGTTCAATCTTGTAGATTGATTTACAGACTCAGTACAAACATGACAAAATCACAATGGGTGCTTTGAATGTTAGCTCATCTTCCTTTTTTTCTGTTCAGTTGTTTTTGTTGTTTTCTTTAATTTAAGATATTCAGACATTAAAGCATAAGTGATATGTAATTTAAAACTGACTTTGTCTTTTGTTTGGTCATTTTTTTCCCTTCAAAATGAACTAGATGGTAAAGTTTACTTCCAGGAGCACTCGAATCCCTGACCTAACCTGAATTATAGGGACTTTGGAACAGCTACTACTAAGGAACAGGAGCTCCTTCTACAAAGATGCCCAACTAATCCAGAGATTTCTCTCTCAGTTGTCTGGGGATTGGCTGTGACCCAAGTTTCATACTGAGGTTCTACTGGCCAGGAGTTGGGTGAGGGCTTAATATCTGAAGAGCAAGGAGGTTGAGAATCCATTTGCTTTAAAGACAAAAGATAAGGGAGAGGAAGAGTGTGACCTGTTCCTAGGATATTTGGTGGTAAGGGGAAGCAAGGAGGAGGTTCTTGGCAGAAAAAAAAAAAGGACAGTCCTTGTCCTTTGCTTGATCCTCTGTCTCAAACTATAAATGTTGAAGGGGCCAGTGCTTAGTTTGTCAGTCCCTACCCTTCTCTGTCTTCATCCACTCTCTTTGGGATCTGTAGAGGAAAGGGTTAACATAGCAGGCCTGAGTTTCTCAAACCCTGCATATTCCCCACAAAAGGCCTATCTCCATGATTAGTTCTTGGTCGGCTTCTAGCAACTGAGCTTTTGGAATGTTCTAAGTGATAAAAGTGTTTTTGCGTGTCTGTACCCATTTGTCCAGATAGTTATACAAACAATGTGATCTGTAGTGAACATCTGCTACCCTTCTGGGAGTCTGGAGCTTCAGTGACTGACCCCTTTTAAAAACCTTGGACATTCAAATTCAGGGTGAGCCTCCCCGGTTGGCAACACTTCATATGTGTTGTCACACATTGTGGGAATCCCCATGTGACTCCACAGACAAGGGACACGTGGGAGCTTACTCATGGTTTCCTCCAGACATTGCCATTGGCACCTTCTCCCTTTGCTGATTTTACCCTCTATCCTTTTGTTGTGATAAGCCATAAAAATGAGTATAAGAACTTCTAGGTCCTGTGAATCCTTTTAGCAAATCATTGATCCTGAGGGTGGTCCTGGGAACCCCTGACACAAGATCTAATCTACCCCCATAACTTCAAATCCCAAATGTGTATCTCCAGCCCTTCTCTGCCTAGACTTCTATGAACTGCTTAATGCTCCAACTGATCCTTGACATGTCTAAACCAAATTCTTGATTTCCCTCTCTATCCCCAAAATGCTCCTCCTCCATTTTTGCCTCAGAAGGTGGCCTGCTAGTCATCCAGTTGCTCTGGCCAGAAACCTAAAAGTCCTTCTTGACTCCTCTTTACCTTTAGCAAATCTCATTCTCACATCTCCACCCCTGAGTTCCTCAGGACTCTAAGCATCTCATGCCCACTTCTCCTCAGATGCCTCATCCCCATGTTTCATTTTATGATTTCTCCTGTTATCTCTTAACAGCTCCTTGTTCCTTATCCTCTACCATGATTTGAAAAGACACTGCTTGTCTGACCCCTGCATACATCCCACGCTCATCTCTAGAACTCAGACTCACAGTTCTCGCTGGCTGCTGTGTCCAGCAGTGTTTGTCCATCCTTGTGATGCAGCAAACACTATGGCATCCCCAGCTTCTGGGTATCAGAACTTGGCCCTCTTAACTCTAGGTTGCTTTTGCCCTGTTTCCGTTGCTTTTAAAGAAACATTAGTCAACTGAACATAGCTACTGAAACTTCTTCAAAGAGGTTTTTTTTAAAAGGCTTTTCCTCCTTTACAAGAGTAAGAAATGAGGTGCTGCCTTTCTGTTTAGCATAGTCAATCTGCAGTGGCATCTAAACAAGAGACCCTTCTATGTGAATGATTTATTATTCATTATTTATTATTATGATTATACTTCTTGCGCTCTCAGAATAGTTTTTTGGTAAGACTTACAGATATTTATTCCTTCTGAATATATATCCCATTATAGGAATAATTGTTAGTAAATTTGTGCTTTAGGGTTCCATTAAATTTCTGCAGGAAAGGATAATCAGTTTTTAGGTTAACTAAAGCACAGAATTTTGGTGAAGATTTTCCATCATTGAAAATTTTGACCAAAGGCACAACAATGAAATTTACAGTTCTCTATTTGGTCACTATAATTGCCAGTCACTGTTATTATCAGTCATTACTAGGAAACTGAAACCTCAGTTCAAATAAGTTGTAATTGTCAAATGAAGTATAAACACCTACATTAACTTTCTTTCTTTCTTGAGGGAGGAGGTAATTCAGTTTTTTAAATTGTTTTTTAAATTTTATTTTAGTGGAGGTACTGGGGATTGAACCCAGGGCTTTATGCATGCTAAGCACATGATCTACCATTGAGCTATATCCTTCCTCCCCACTACATTAACTTTCTGGTAATTATTTCTTCTTTTGGACAGTTCTTTAACCAATGACATATA